TTTTTTTTTGTGGTTGGACTCAATGATCTCAGAGGTCCCTTCCAACCACTAAGATTCTGTGATTCTGTGAACCCGGAGGGGGGGTGGGCAGCATACCCCCCCCCACCCCAGCTCCCAGCCATGAAGCAATGGGGGTGTGTGTGTGTGTGTGTGTGTCCTGCCCCACAGTACCCCTTTCTGCAGGGGTGTAACTGGGAATGGCCCTCGTGAGGGGACAAGGAGCTTATGCTCTACTGCACCTCTCCTGCTCTGGGGTAACGGTACTCAGGGAGCTGGCAGGAGAGCTCACCAGGCCTCTCTCCATTATCTGCCAACAATCCTGGGCAACAGGAGAGGTACCAGAGGACTGGAGGGTGGCCAATGTGATGCCCATCTACAAGAAGGGCCAGAAGAAGGATCTGAGGGACTATAGTCCTGTCAGCCTGACCTCGGTACTGGGAAAGATCATGGAGAGGATCATCTTGAATGAGCTCTCACAGCAAGCACAGGGCAGCCAAGGGAGCAGGACCTGGAGGGGCACCTTCTCCCCAGGGGGATGGGGGGTGGCAGCGGCACGGCCCCCCCCTCCCCCTCCCGGCCCCCGCAAGGTGACAGGCGAGGCCTCGGCCCCTTATCTCGAATTCCTGGGGGCCGGGGTGCCTAATTATGGGCATCTGACGGTGGTGGTGGCAGCGGGGGGGTGGCCCCCTCCCCGGCTGGGACCTTGAGGGGCACGGGTGGTGGGCGCCATGGCCTCTGCGTACCGTGGCTACGGCCAAGGGCACGGGGAGCCCCACTTCGAGGGCGACTGGCAGCACGGACCCTTCGGGGCGCTGGGACACGATGGCTTCGGGTACCCAGGTACAGGGGATGGGAGGGTGGGGGTGCCTGCTGCCCCGGGGAGGGTCCCCCCCCGGGTTATCCAGCTGCCCTGTGCCTGGGCACAGCCTGAGACCTGACTGGGATGGGCCTGGGGGGCTGGGGTGAGCCCTGGCTGCCCCCCGACAGCCCCATGGCTCTCTGGATTGTCCTGCATCCCCCCCCCAACAAGTCCCTTTGTGTCTCTCGTACCCCCATGTCCCTGCTGTCCCCAGGCTCACCGTGCCCCCAGCTCCCCCCTCCCCACACCCTTCTGAGCCTCTCAGTGCCCCCAGACCCACGTGTATCCCCCC